AGGGGGCGGCATTCAGGGGCTGTGTGTGGCTGTGGGTGTTTGAGTGAGAAAGACACAGAAGAGAGCCAACCAGTAAAAGCACAGCCCCCTTCATTATCGACGCATTGTGCCAACAAAGAGCCATTCCAGACTCTGAAGTCAGGAGGACTTCAAAAGTTAGATGTTTGCCAGACTAGTGATTAACTGCAATGGAAAAGTAATTGTTTGTCTGGCCACAACAATTTGAAGTCATATGGGGCAGAGTCTCACGAGCATTAGAAACAGCATTGGGTGTGAATACGGCGTGAATGTGGATCTGAGCAAGTGTGACGTCATTAATGTTTGTGGATATGTACAGTACCAGTCAGTTGTTTGGACACACCTACTCATTCCAGGGTTTTTCTTTATTTTTACTATTTTCTACATTGTAGAATAATAGTGAAGACATCAAAACTATGATATAACACATATGGAATCATGTAGTAACCAAAAAAGTGTTCAATAAATCAAAATATACTTTATATTTTAGATTCTTCAAAGTAGCCACCCTTTGCCTTGATGACAGCGTTGCACACTCTTTGACTGGTACTGTATGTAAATGTTAAGTTGTCTAATGTTATTGTAAATGTCCAGTTGTGGTCAAAAGTTTTGAGAATGACACAAGTATTGGTCTTCACAAAGTTTGCTGCTTCAGTGTTTTTAGATATTTTTGTCAGATGTTACTATGGTATACTGAAGTATAATTACAAGCGTTCCATAAGTGTCAAAGGCTTTTATTGACAATTACATTAAGTTTATGCAAAGAGTCAATATTTGCAGTGTTGACCCTTCTTTTTCAAGACCTCTGCAATCCACCCTGGCCTGCTGTCAATTCACTTCTGGGCCACATCCTGACTGATGGCAGCCCATTCTTACATAATCAATGCTTGGAGTTTGTCAGAATTTGTGGGTTTTTGTTTATCCACCCACCTCTTGAGGATTGACCACAAGTTCTCAATGGGATTAAGGTCTGGGGAGTTTCCTGGCCATGGACCCAAAAATTCGATGTTTTGTTCCCCGAGCCACTTAGTTATCACTTTTGCCTTATGGCAATGTGCTCCATCATGCTGGAAAAGGCACTGTTTGTCACCAAACTGTTCTTGGATGGTTGGGAGAAGTTGCTCTCGGAGGATGTGTTGGTACCATTCTTTATTCATGGCTGTGTTCTTAGGCAAAATTGTGAGTGAGCCCACTCCCTTGGCTGAGAAGCAACCCCACACATGAATGGTCTCAGGATGCTTTACTGTTGGCATGACAAAGGACTGATGGTAGCGCTCACCTTGTCTTCTCCGGACAAGCTTTTTTCCAGATGCCCCAAACAATCGGAAAGGGGATTCATCAGAGAAAATGACTTTACCCCAGTCCTCAGCAGTCCAATCCCTGTACCTTTTGCACAATATCAGTCTGTCCCTGATGTTTTTCCTGGAGAGAAGTGGCTTCTTTGCTGCCCTTCCACAGGCCATCCTCCAAAAGTCTTTGCCTCACTGTGCGTGAAGATGCACTCACACCTGCCTGCTGCCATTCCTGAGCAAGCTCTGCACTGGTGGTGCCCCGATCCCGCAGCTGAATCAACTTTAGGAGACGGTCCTGGCGCTTGCTGGACTTTCTTGGGCGCCCTGAAGCCTTCTTTACAAAAATGGAACCACTCTCCTTGAAGTTCTTGATGATCTGATAAATGGTTGATTTAGGTGCAATCTTACTAGCAGCGATATCCTTGCCCCTGAATCCCTTTTTGTGCAAAGCAATGATGACGGCACGTGTTTCCTTGCAGGTAACCATGGTTAACAGAGGAAGAACAGTGGGTTAGAAGCACTGCGCTGGGTTAGAAGCACAACCCAAATATGCTTGGTTGAATTAACTCAATGCTGTGTTTGTCCAATATTGATGTGATGAGTGTGATTAGGAGTCAGGCGCAGGAGGGTATATCATCGAATACAGAGTTTATTCCGTCGTACACAGTTGTGGTGGATAGCGACAACAAAATACAGGCACAGGGGAACAATCTACCCCGGCAATACAAGGTACGGGTAGATCTAACAAAATACAGGCACAGGGGAATAATCTACCCCGAGCTACACTACTCTCACAATAAACAATCACCCACAAGGACAAGGGGGCAGAGGGAACACTTATACACAGACTAATGAGGGGATAAGAACCAGGTGTGTGTAATTGACAAGACAAGACAAATGGAATGATGATATATGGAGCGGCAGTGGCTAATAAGCCGGTGACGACGAACCCCGAAAGCCTGCCCGAACAAGGAGGGGAGGCAGGAAGTCGTGACAATTGACCCAGCGCTGGGTTGATGAAATTACCCAAATTGGGTTATTTTTAATCCAGCATTTTTTTTTAGTAACAATAAGTTATTTTGTGAATTAAAAAACTAAATGTCTTCCTTTTTAAGAGGCCAAAATAGATTGTTTTCAGTATCCTAATTTTGTTTTCAGATTGTTTCAGTGCATGCATTCAACAAGCTTTGGACGAAGGACTTCCACAGAGCCGCCATCTCCAAAGTTCACTAAGAAAGGCAATAGTTCTGAACTGGGTTTGATTTAATTTTTGTTGTTTTAATTATTACAATTGTGTTAATTATCTTTTAAACTTCCATTGGTTAATCTATTGCTCAGTGTCACTTGGCTCATGTAAATAGTTATGTTGTCCCTTTAAACATCCGAAGGTCAACATCCCCATAGTGTTCACATTCCTCTCATGTAAATATTGTAGCTACATAAAATATTAAATAAACAATTTATTTGGGAAATATCTGGACTGCTCTTTTTTTCATTACCATGTTGATGATTTTAAGTTGTATTGGATTTATTTTTATCTGTTAAAGACATTGAATACATGTTAAGTATATTTACCACATTTAGTATATTTCGTTTTTTTTCTCTAGTAAGTAAGTTATGTGATTTGGTTTATGTATACATTTCAATGTTGTTTAACACACAGTTACCAAAAACCTGATCTAATTTGCATATTCATACAGAGTTTGCAGCAAACAGAATGTTCGCCACAAGTTTCCCAGAATTGTTTGCCAGAAGTTCACAAGTTGACGCAAATTTGCCGCAACAGTTTGCCACAAAACTAATTTGCATGTGAAAATATGAGCTTAAAAATTGGCCAAAGGTATTCCACAACTGTTTGCCAGAAGCCTGTTTTTTCGGTAAGGGTGAAACGAGAATGGTGTGTAATTGTGACCGGCAATTCATGACGTTCCTGCATGTAGGCATTCCTGCATCTGCAGGAACCCCTCTTTATACTTCTATTGGTACATTTTTAAGCTAGGACTTCGGTACGCAGGCGGGAAGCGGGAGCGGTCCAGTACAGTAGGTGGAGGTAATGCACCATAACATTGGATGCCAACCGCCGGCATTAGTCCCTTTGGTGAGCTCATAATAAGTCCAGTGATGGGCATCCTGTACTGTAAAATGTTCCATCTATGTCACGATCGTTAGACGGAGTAGACCAATGCGCAGCGTTAGTTGCAAACATACTTGAACTTTATTATCTTTAGTGATAATATAAACAACAAAGCAACAAACGAAACGTGCAGTCCTACGGTTTACACAACCAACACGGAAACAAACCAAACGGAAACAAGATCCCACAAACACTAAGGGAAAACAGACTGTTTAAATGTGGTTCCCAATCAGAGACAACCAGCCACAGCTGACACTCGTTGCCTCTGATTGAGAACCACACTGGCCAACATAGAAATATAACACATAGACCTACAACACAGAACTAGAACACATAGAATCTACACACCCTGGCTCAACATATAGAGTCCCCAGAGCCAGGGTGTGACAATCTATTAGATGAGGCTTTAAATCAAGATCCAGACTACATATAATTAATCAAGATTCATCATCATATATCCTTGGCACCTACTGTGATAAACCTAAAACTAGTCATGGTACATAGCAGTCACCCATCTGACAGTTTACTAATGATGAAAAAGGGTTAAGGCTAAAATCTTATCTTTTTCAATAAACTCAACCCCAAATCAGTTTTATTAGGGACTGATGTGGATTTAAATGTTTTTTATCACCTAACACTCATTTTCCATCCTCTATTATGCACATAATATCCCTTTATTTAGTAAAACTAGGCTACATCTCTACTACAACCACGTTAACGAACATATGCTGAAATATGTGAAAAGTGATGATGTTGTGAAGAAAAGACTAGTGGAACCTTTTGTTTCCACCCAAACGTTAGGGTGAACACCTCTGCATTAGGGGAAATTTTGAGCTGAAGTATCAGAACAGTGATCAACAACATATGATGTCTTTCACGGAAGCAGCCTCTGTGTCTGAATTGATGGTTTTGATTGAAAACGTGAGTGGAAGTCATATAGACTGAGTGGAAGTATCTCTCTCACGGAAAAAAAGAGGCAACGGTATAGCCTATCCACATGGGGAAGCCCCGATCCAGCGTCAGTGTCTCTAAAGTCTTTCTTGTACATTCTATACATCCTGGTACTGTTCTTGCTGAGTCATAGCGCATGCAAATGTCTTAATTTTTAAGAATGGCACATTGGCATTAGGATCATGTAAAATGTTAAAAGGTTTTATTTGCAAAGACATAAAATACAACCACATTTAACACAATACACATTGTACAATATTTCACATTATTTTGCCAGACTGGCAATATTATCACATTATCTTTCCTCTAAATCTTAACCAGACACAGGAAGGAAGTAGTAGGCCTACTTCTCAGAAGTTTGTCAGTAGCCCATTTGTGAAAATAACATCATGCAGATCTCCCAGAGCAGCAAAGAACAACCATTTTGTTGATAAGGAGGCATGCTTTTCCATAATAAGAGATTACATGGGAATCAAATATTGACCGCATTTTAAAATGTTCAAACAGGTGTTTGAAGTTGTTTCTGGTTTAAAATACATTTATTCTGAGTATCATTGAGAATAACTACAGCATTTTAACAGACAGACAGACAGGTATTTTCTTCATGGCTCCCCCAAGCTTGGTGGTTTTACCAGGGAAGAGAGACTGCTGTCCCCACTTTCTTCAACTGGCCTCCGGCACATTGAGTCCTGAGCTGGGGTAGAATAATAGAGTCAGTATGCCCAAACCAAACAACACACAAAATATACACAGATGACATTCCAAACTACAACACACATAATAGCTAAAGAAACAAACATAACACTTCTCATAATAATTTCACTAACATTTGCACATACCTGTTCTGACAACCGGGTTCTTGTAGTTGTTGATGCAAGGAATGATGACCAGGTTGTAGGTCACAGCGGTAAGTAGAAAAGTAAGCAGCAGGACAATTCCAATGAGTGTCATAACTGAAAGTTAGAAATAAGTAATTAGTCATACAATGCCATACCACTATCCACTGTAACACAATGTTATACATGGATCTATAATGTCATGCCCTACAGTCAAGAACAGCATGCAACCTTGGCTGTAGTCTGCCGTTGAGGACTTGGGACCAGTGAGGGCTGGTGTTACAGTGGGGACATTGGGATGAGGAGATGACCCTTGGCTCTGGTTCTGGATCAATGACTTAGATAAGGTCTGGATAGAGCCAGAGGGGGAAGTGGGCTGCATGGATGGGAGGGTCTTCCCCTCTGGCTCGGACTCTTCATTACAGATCACATCTGACATCGTAGTGCCCGGAATCTTCACTCCACTCCTACATCTAAGACACAGGCAGATACATAGCTGAGTCAAACTGCAGTTAAAATGATTCCAAATCAATTGCAGAGGATGACAGAAAGTCCAACGTTATATTGTAAATGCAAGTAGACTGCTTGATACTTTTTTGCAAATAGCAAAAATCTGACAAATGCTAGTTAGTTGTTCTACATACTCTCGCCATTTCGCACATGTAGAGTCCATGCCGGTAGTAAAGAATCCATGCTCACATTCACGGCATACTGGTATTATTCCTGAATCAAGAAATGAGGCAGCATGCCAGTTATTTACAGATTTACTAATCAATCCACTAAAAAGCATCAGTATTATGTGATTCCACTTTACCTGATGTATCCAGCCCAGAACCCGTGGCACACTTGCATCGCGAAGAGTCTTTGACCCTGTTAGTGAATCCTCTACGACACTGACATATAACATCAGAAGTCTTTGAGCACTTTGATATTACCTCACTCCCAGTGTCTGCATAGAAACAATCATATTGTCTGTGGGTTACGCTGGCATATTTCATGGCTGTTTAGATTCAACTCAAGATTTGGTGTGGGATCATTATACATTTTAAAAATATCCTCTTCTGTCATGATTTACACATCAACAGGTTATTGTTTACATAATGTATTCATATTGATTATAACTTCTTATTGCATAATTATAACTTACCCTCAACGCAGGAGTGGCAGGGTTGACATTGCTGAGATTCATTTGGTACTGCCTGGAAGGACTCGTCAGGGCACGGTTCACACAGTTCCCTGTTATGTCTAGACCTACTTATCCTCTCACCTTGATAATATCAATCACATTATTGTCATTGTACTGTAATTCTTCTTAATATCGGCCAGAGTCATTATTTTATTCTAAGTATCAACAAATTAGGAGTAACCTTAATAGTATCAATGGTAAATAAAAAAATATTCAAGATAAGTCTACATCTACATTCATCGGCATTACTTAGTAGAGTATAATTCCCAGCAAAACATAGAGAGAAGCTACACAATAGCCCTTAATATTCAATAACTCATACTTTACCTTTTTTGCATTGGTAAGCAGCCGCCACAGGATTTAAAAATCCATTACAAGTAAGAATACATAAATAGATGAGCACCCAGAATTTAGACAGGATCATCATATCACTCTCCCTATAGAAAGGATATCTCATGTCTGTCAACCTGTAGAGGGAGGGTGTGAAACTAAATGAAAACGACTCACTTATATCTACAGTTTATATTGATATTTGATGTGGTGTAGTTCAGCTGTACCATGTCTGCGTTAACATTCTGTGATGAATCATGATTTCCTGTCCCTCTGAAGTTATCCACGCCCCAAGACTGGTAAATCAATTATATTTTTCTAATTCTTTCAACTGAAAATCCTCTGTCATTCAAGATTCATTATATTTCCTTCAGCCGATAAATTGATCACTTCCAGTCATTTAAAACTGTTGTTTTCCTCTATGTTTGTGAGAGGTAGGTAGGACATGCCATATATACTACATCTCAGCATAACCCACCTTCTCCTAGGCTTTATTATGTAAAGAATTCAAGATTCAAGATAAGTTGAGGTGTAGAAATATAATGTGTTGTTGTGTTTTATTGACAGCAAAATATCTCAATATTTCAGACAAGAAAGTATTTTATTGTTCTTGCATGATATGTCATCTCATCCCACTATGTTAGCTTCTCATTAGGTCCACTTAAAGTGATCTCATTTCTTGTTATGGGATGACTCATTGTTGTCCATTGTTCTATATTATACAGTACCAGTCAAAAGTTTGGACACACCTACTCATTCCAGGGTTTTTCTTTATTTTTACTATTTTCTACATTGTAGAATAATAGTGAAGACATCAAAACGATGAAATAACACAAATGAACTCATGTAGTAACCCCAAAAGTGTTAAACAAATCATTTTTAACATTTTAACATTTTAGTCATTTAGCAGACGCTCTTATCCAGAGCGACTTACAGTTAGTACATACATTATATATATATTTTTTTTTTTTTACTTTTTTTTTAAAAAATTATTATTATTATTATTTATTTTTTCATACCCCCCGTGGGAATCGAACCCACAACCATGGTGTTGCAAACGCCGTGCTCTAACGAACTGAGCTACAAATCAAAATATATGATGATAATGATGAGTTTTGCACACTCTTGGCATTCTCTCAACCAGCTTCATGAGGTAGTCACCTGGAATTCATTTCAATTAACAGGTGTGCCTTGTTAAAAGTTAATTTGTGGAATTTATTTCCTTCTTAATGTGTTTGAGCCCATCAGTTGTGTTGTGACAACGTAGGGTTGGTATACAGAAGATAGCCCTATTTGGTAAAAGACCAAGTCCATATTATGGCAAGAACAGCTCAAATAAGCAAAGAGAAACGACAGTCCCATCGTTATTTTAAGACATGAAGGTCAGTCAATCCGGAAAAGTTCAAGAACTTTGTACGTTTCTTCAAGTGCAGTCGCAAAAACCATAAAGTGCTCTGATGAAACGCTACAGGAATGGAAGACCCAGAGTTACCTCTGCTGCATAGGATAAGTTCATTAGAGTTACCAGCCGTAGAAATTGCAGCTCAAATAAATGATTCACAGTTTTCAAGTAACAGACACATCTCTCTTTGTGTGTTTATTCGCGTTATTTGTAACTTATTTTGTACATAATGTTTCTGCCATCGTCTCTTACGACCGAAAAGAGCTTCTGGATATCAGGACAGCGATTACTCACCTCATACTGGACAAAGATTTTTTCTTCAACTAGTCGGACGCAAAGGATTTACGTTAGACACCCGACAAGGCCCAAATCCTCGTCATTCGCAGGAGAAAGAGACAGAGAAATCGGGGACGTAGGTCGGGATGCCTTATAAGGATTTGACGGCGAGTGTGTAATCTGCCTCTTTCATCAGTCCTATTAGCCAACGTACAATCATTGGATAACAAAATGACGAGCTACGATCACGAACATCCTACCAACGGGACATTAAAAACTGTAATATCTTATGTTTTACAGAGTTCTGGCTTTACAACGACATGGATAACATACAGCTGGTGGGGTTTACTCTGCATCGGCAAGACAGAACAACGGCCTCCGGTAAGACAAGGGGTGGCGGTCTGTGTATATTTGTAAACAACAGCTGGTGCACGAAATCCAATAAGGAAGTCTCGAGGTTCTGCTCGCCTGAGGTAGAGTATCTCATGATAAGCTGTAGACCACACTATTTACCAAGAGAGTTTTCATCTATGTTTTTCGTAGCTGTCCATTTACCACCACAAACCGATGCTGGCACTAAGACCGCACTCAATGAGCTGTATAAGGCCATAAGCAAACAGGAAAACGCTCATCCAGAGACGGCGCTCCTAGTGGCCGGGGACTTTAGTGCAGGGAAACTTAAATCCATTTTACCTCATTTCTACCAGCATGTTAAATGTGCAACCAGAGGGAAAAAAACTCTAGACCACCTTTACTCCACAAACAGAGACACGTACAAAGCTCTCCCACACTCTCCATTTGGCAAATCTGACCATAATTCTATCCTCCTGATTCCTGCTTACAAGCAAAAACTAAAGCATGAAGCACCAGTGGTCAGATGACGCATATGCTAAGCTACAGGACTGTTTTGCTAGCACAGACTGGAACATGTTCCGGGATTCTTCCGATGGCATTGAGGAGTACATCACATCAGTCACTGGCTTCATCAATAAGTGTATCGGTGACGTCGTCCCCACAGTGACCATACGTACATGCACCAACCAGAAGCCATGGATTACAGGCAACATCCGCACTGAGCTAAAGGGTAGAGCTGCCACTTTTAAGGAGCGGGAATCTAACCTGGACGCTTATAAGAAATCCTGCTATGCCCTCTGATGAACCATCAAACAGGCAAAGCATCAATACAGGACTAAGATTGAATCGTACTACACCGGCTCCGACGCTCGTCGGATGTGGCAGGGCTTGCAAACTATTACAGACTACAAAGGGAAGCACAGACGCGAGCTGCCCAGTGACACAAGCTTACCAGACGAGCTAAATCACTTCTATGCTGGCTTCTAGGCAAGCAACACTGAAGCATACATGAGAGTATCAGCTGTTCCGGACGACTGTGTGTTCACGCTCCCCGTAGCCAATGTGAGTGAGACCTTTAAACAGGCCAACATTCACAAGGCCGCAGGTTGGATTGTCTGGACGTGTACTCCAAACATGCGCTGACCAACTGGCAAGTGTCTTCACTGACATTTTCAACATGTCCCTGACTGAGTCTGTAATACCAACATGTTTCAAGCAGACCACCATAGTCCCTGTGCCCAAGAACACTAAGGTAACCTACCTAAATGAGTACAGACCCGTAGCACTCACGTCTGTAGCCATGAAGTGCTTTGAAAGGCTGGTCATGGCTCACATGAACACCATTATCCCAGAAACCCTAGACCCACTCCAATTTGCATACCGCCCCAACAGATCCACAGATGATGCAATCTCTATTGCACTACACACTGCCCTTTCCCACCTGGACAGAAGGAACACCTTTTGACAATGCTATTCATTGGCTACAGCTCAGCATTCAACACCATAGTGCCCTCAAAGCTCATCACTAAGCTAAGGACCCTGGGACTAAACACCTCCCTCTGCAACTGGATCCTGGACTTACTGACGGGCCGCCCCCAGGTGGTAAGGGTATGTAACAACACATCTGCCACGCTGATCCTCAACACGGGGGCCCCTCAAGGGTGCGTGCTCAGTCCTCTCCCGTACTCCCTGTTTACACATGACTGCATGGCCAGGCACGACTCCAACACCATCATTAAGTTTGCTGACGACAAATCAGTGGTAGGCCTGATCACCGACAACGATGAGACAGCCTATAGGGAGGAGGTCAGAGACCTGGCCATGTGGTGCCAGGATAACAACCTCTCCCTCAATGTGATCAAGACAAAGGACATGATTGTGGACTACAGGAAAATAAGGACCGAGCACGCCCCCATTCTCATCGACAGGGCTGTAGTGGAGCAGGTTGAGAGCTTCAAGTTCCTTGGTGTCCACATCACCAACAAATTATCATGGTCCGAACACACCAAGACAGTCATGAATAGGACCCGACAAAGTCTATTCCCCCTCAGAAGACTGAAAATATTTGGTATGGGTCCTCTGATCCACAAAAAGTTATACAGCTGCACCATCGAGAGCATCCTGACTGGTTGCATCACTGCCTGGTGTGGCAACTACTCAGCCTCCGACCGCAAGGCACTACAGAGGGTAGTGCGTACGGCCCAGTACATCACTGGGGCCAAGCTACCTGCCATCCAGGACCTCTATACCAGGCGGTGTCAGAGGAAGGCCCTAAGAATTTTCAGACTCCAGCCACCCTAGTCATAGACTGTTCTCTCTTGCCAAGTCTAGGTCCAAAAGGCTTCTTAACAGCTTCTACCCCCAAGCCATAAGACTCCTGAACAGCTAATCAAATGGCTACCCGGACTATTTGCATTCCCATCCCCACCCCCTCTTTTACGCTGCTGCTACTCACTTTTTACGATCTAGGCATAGTCACTTTATCTATACCTACACGTACATATTACCTCAATTACCTCGACTAACCGGTGCCCCCGCACATTGACTCTGTACTGGTACCCCCTGTATATAGCCTCACTACTGTTATTTTTAACTGTTATTTTACTGCTTTTATTTTTTACTTATCAATTGTGTACTTAACACTTATTTTTCTTAAAATGGCATTGTTGGTTAAGGGCTTGTAAGCATTTCACTGTAAGGTCTACACCTGTTGTATTCAGCGCATATGACAAATACAATTTGATTTGATTTGAACATCAACTGTTCAGAGGAGACTGCGGGAATCAGGCCTTCATGGTCGATTTGCTTCAAAGAAATCCCTACTAAAGGACACCAATAATAAGAAGAGACTTGCTTGGGCAAAGAAACATGAGCAATGGACAATAGACCAGTGGAAATCTGTCCTTTGTTCTGATGAGTCCAAATTTGAGATTTTTAGTTCCAACCGCCGTGTCTTTGTGAGACACAGAGTAGGTGAACGGATGATCTCCGCATGTGTGGTTACCACTGTGAAGCATGGAGGAGGAGGTGTGATGGTGTGGGGGTGCTTTGCTGGTGACACTGTCTGTGATTTATTTAGAATTCAAGGCACACTTAACCAGCATG